CTTAAATTCACACCATCCAAGGTTCCGGAAACTAACAGTTCATCCTAATTATTTCTCAATTCTTAAAAGTTGATGATAACTAGAAAAGCCACGCAGCCACTATCCTTCCAAACCACTGTGCCAGCATCTTTGTAACATTTGTTATGCAATTATCAGAATGCTTTAAAATTTGAACTACATGCCGATTCTTCCACTTCCGATACAGGCCGAATTACAGTTACTCTCACAACATGCATCCTACGATTTTCTATTTTGGAGCTTAGTATTACCATGAGTGTAAGATGAACAGTCTTTCAAAATATCACAAGTAGTAAGTAATACAAAAAGTAGACCATCTAAGATTAAAAAAATGGGCATAATTATATCTCTACTTACCATGTTGTTTGAGAAAATAACGCCAGGTGAAAGCTTGCAATAGAACTGACATGATGATTGTATATTTTTCTGCAACAAAAGCTCGCAAATCAAACCGTATAGAATCCAAATGGTCTGAATAGAAGAAATTCCAATGGACGAGCTTCAAGGACAATAATTAAGTTCTGAAATACAGGGATGAAAATTACCAGGGTAAAGAAGATACCAGTTCCTTGACGCCAGCCTGATCTCTTCCAGAAAATGTGAAAAACCCCATATGCTCCTGCAAAAATAAACATAATAATGAGTGGCATGGAAAAAGGAAGTTGTGAGTAGAATCCATGTGGGCCAAGCGTGTAAAAAATACTATAAGAAACTTAGTCAATTTTGCCTGCCAGTCAGCTAAACCAGATCCAAATAGATTACGGATTGCTAGATTTTTAATATCAAGTAATGATAAGTGACTCTCCGAGCACGAAGAAGGTAAACTTGTGCAGGAAACAGTTTGACAAATAAAAAAATAATCATATCTATCCTTGGATCTTGTTCAGCTAGTTAAAAATTGGGGGACAAAGAACCTACAACCACCTAAATACTGGGGAAAAGAAACTGAGTAAAGCATGTACCATCTCAATTGGATGCATCTCTTTCACACTGAACTTTGCAAGAGAACTTTTTAGATGTTTGAACCAATGATCCTCTAAATTTGGGCAGAAATGACAAGAAACCTGCAAGAAAGTGAGCTAAAAGTGAGATTAACGAGAAAAACAGGACAAAGAAGGAACATGCATACATATTCAAGAAATCTTAAATAAGAACCAATAGCAATTACTAAAAATATTTAACTTTCCATTTTTGATTAACATAAGTAAAATAAATCTGCACTAAAAAGGATTTCAATTGATCAATTCCAAACTAAAGAATCTAAACACAATTCCAAGCATTACGTTATCTAGATACTAAAAAAATTGTTGGAACATCAGCATACCTGAAAAATTGATTTCTCGTATGAACTAATCGTTTGCGCAAAGCTGTGAGAGAGAGAATCATCCCATGCCAGTGTAACTGCTAATATAGAGACCTCCTCATGCTCATCTAACTCAATCTGGTGAAATTTCAATATCAAAACCATGTACAATGTAAGAACGCTTGTCGCAAGCATTTCGTAAATCAAACACTTCACCTGAGGAACGAAAAAGTAAGAAGAGCCATCCTTGCTATTTACAGCAGAGTATTCGTTGAAATCAATATCTGGAAAACCATAGGCCGTCACCATAGCTGATTCATCTGAGAGGAATCTGCAGAAGTTAGTTAGCTTAACCACTTCAAGTAAAATGCATCAATTTAGAACTAAAGAGACCAAGTACAAAAGCAAAAAAATGCCTACGTTTTTCTCGTGCTATGTCCTGTGGAGTCAATCGAAGACGGATGAACGAAAGAGAGTGCGTTCCCAATTCCAAAAACCCCATGAGGTTCCTTTACATAGAGTGATTTATAAGAAGGCTTCACAGTTTCCTTGGAGAGGAAAAACACAGGAAATACACCAGACGACTTAGGTTGAGAGCAAAACCAGAACAAAGCTTTTGCCCTTGGAGGCACAGCCACCTACATATTCAAAACACAATATCAATCTGATAACTAACATTTATAAAGTAACAGGCAATCGAAGATACGAAATAATCTGTACTTGAAATCGCAAAAAGCCACTAGATGAGTTTGGAGGATTAGTTTTCAGTTCATCAACAGCCTCCTTGAGTCTCTCGAGACCAAGCTCAAGAGTCAAAGCTGGAGGCAATGTACGAGTCACACACACTTGGACCATTAAATCATCATCCTCATTCACTACCAAAGCTTCACTACTCATAATCGGCCCATCGAATTGCAATCCTTGAGCGACCTTAAAACAAAAACCCAGAAAACCCCAATCAAATCGAATATACACAACAACAAAACAGCGATTTTGGTTATTCAAATGGGAGGCAGGAATAAGCAAACCTCGATGTTTCTTCCGATTCCGTGAAGAGAAACACGAAGAGACTCGGCGAAGGAGAATCGTCCTCTTCCGCGTTTGAAGGAGTTTCTGGAATTGTAACGCGGGATTAGAGGAGAACGTAGAAACGGAGGATCCGAGAGTAGAAACGGAGATCGCATTTTTTCTTTCGAAATGGAGTTTGAGGATGTGAATCGGAATGGATGATGTGAGAGGGTTTTAGAAGAGGTTCTTTGGATAAGGCTCTGAAATTTTATGATTAACGGTCAGAAAATGGAGTTACCCTCTAAACAAGTCACTAATCTATACCATAATATTAATCATGATTCACTAATCAACCGGCGTGTCCGGTATGGTTCAACATGGAAACCGGAAATGAAATAAACCTCTTGAAAACTGGATAAAACCAGATGAACTGGATTGAACCGGCGTGATTTTTGGAGATTTTTGCAGCATTGTTAATAGGGCGGGGTCGCGAGCGAATATCCGGAAAAAATTTATGAGAAAATTATTTAATATCTCGCAAAAACAAATCGATTTCTATTCAAGTCTGAAAAATTAGATACCCGACAAATAAAGAATTGATTGATGGGATATACAGTATTTGAATAGAAATCTTAAAATAAAATTGACAGAAATAAAATTTAATATAGAGTAGAAACAAGAAACGGCGGGAAAAAACAAAAATTAGGTCAGCCGCTCTCTCTGGTTCAGTAATCGATACAACCAATGCTCGCCGGCGTTGGAAGATGGTCTCCCTGCTCCGCTCACCGGTTACTTCATCGATTCATTCGGCTTGTTTTCTCCGTTTCAACTTCTCATCCTCAGTCTCGATCGGTGAAGAAATTTCTCAGATTTGGACATGTTCTGTTCGATTTAAGAACAAGAATCTTGTGTTAATTACGTGCCCTTGGGGTACGAATCTATTCTCGGCTAGAAACCGAAGAAATTCTACTCCCTTTCCCACACATCTTCATCACCTCATTGGCCTCCTCCGCCTTCTCCGCCGTCCACACCGGCGGAGATGTTCAGGCTTTCATCACGCTTCACCGACAAATCCATCGGAAGCCCGACTTCAACACTCTGGTGCCAGTTTTTGAATATCGGAGTATGACTCCGGATCTGACTTCCACACCTTCCTATTCGCCCTCCGCTCTCAAGAACCACCACCGACAGCTCAATCGGCCGCTTCTCTCCATCTGAACGGCACCAGATCGGAATGTGGCCCGAAGAGTTCTCGAAGACTACTGCTTCCACCAAGTTGCTTCTCACTTAGTCTTCGATCTGGTTATCACCTCCATATCCTCCACAGAGAACATGCTCTTCTCCACCGTTGCTCTACTGCCTTCGGGTCAGGCGCCACCGTCGGAGATGCCACCTCCGTTGCTGACTCTGCCCCTTCCCTCAGCCGAGACAAATCTAGAGAGGCTTCAAAATTGGTTGGGCTTGGCCCAATTTAATTGGTACAGCCCAATAAGGTTAGAGTTTCATATGGATTGGCCCAAATTGATCTGTGGGCTCACCAGCCCAATAAAGTTATGTCTTCAAGGCCCAGCCTCGTTCCATTACCAAAATAAAATAGATTTTGATGATGGTTCTCTGGGTAACATGTGGATGGCAGTATTACCAAACTTCTCCTTAGGGGTGATGATAAAAAAGATGGCTTTATCAGGGAAATCTTCTGAGTCATATACTCTCTCTACCGTGAGAGTATCAAAGTTTTCTGGATTCTTAAATCATGTAGTTTTTATTGTTCATGATCTCTTCTGATGAGAGAAGTTCAAAATTTTCTGGATTCTCAAACCATGTAATTTACTCTCGGGAGAAGAGTTCGTTTCCACCATCTTCCATCTCTTAGAGCATGGTCGTATCTTCTTCCCTCCGGGAACTTCAAAGTCACATGGTAAAATGACTAACCTGAGTCTCTACGGCTTTGTCGTGAAGACCCTCTTGACGCATCCGAGGCATGTTTTAGATTCGATGTCCATCATTTGCAATGATCTATCTATTTTATGTTTTATTGTTTCTCAATTATGTTGTAGTACATCTGAAGTATGTTTAATTCCTTCCATTTGTACTTTGATTGGTTAAATTAATGAGTCAAACTTGTTGAAAAAAAAAAAAAATCTCTACTAGTAGAGCTTTAAATTATAATATGTTTCTTTTCTATGTCAATAAAAACCATAATGGTCTATACCATCAGCAGAATATATAATTGTTTCATTGAGTATGAATTTTCTCTGTCACTAGTCACTACAAGCTTTAAGCCTTTAATTGACTTAAATTAGTTACCTCTTCGACCAACTCAAGAACTAGTCACTTCGCAATTTTTTTTTATAACAACTACACTAAATGTTTCGTTTATCCGCAATTAACCATGCAATTTTAGCACTTTTTTTTTTAGAAACAAACTTAGCACTTAAGTGCTAACAAAAGAAAACAAAGAAATTATGTTACGTGCTTTCCAGGCCAAAAAAATGCAGTCGGGTATTCTTCAATGTATTCTTGTAGACTAAATCAAATTCATAATATTGGGACTTTGTCCTCTTGAACTCTTCCAACTCTAGGCCAACATGCTTTGTGGACAAGCTATCATTCTAACTAGATTTGCGGTTGAGTGTGCAAGTTACAGTAATTGTAAAAACATTTTTTTTGTTTTTAATTTGAATATAATTTGACATTCTTGAAAAAAATAAACTGAGTAAAAAAAAATTTATGTTTAGCCAAGCATTGCATGATACGACCCGAGTTAGGCCTTGAAGTTCAAGCCAATTCCACAGTTTCATCATGTAGGTGTAGTTAACGTCTATTCATGTATTCATTTGGTGTGCATTC